GTGTGGGACACTCCCTTCAGACTAAAGAGCCTCAGTTCCTTCAGTCTGTCAGTGTGGGACACTCCCTTCAGACTAAAGAGCCTCAGTTCCTTCAGCCTGTCAGTGTGGGACACTCCCTTCAGACTAAAGAGACTTAGTTCCTCCAGAGAGACGTGAGACATTCCTTATAGCTCCAGAATGTATCTGGTTTCTCGTCTCTCGACTGATTCCAGAGCTGCAACATCTTTCATATAGCGTGGCGACCAAAATTGTACTTGATATTCTAATGAGGCCTTACTGATGAATTATACAGTTTATTCACTCCCTGGATTTAAACTCTACACTTTTTACTGTAAATCCCAGCATTCTGTTTGCCTTTTCAATACAGAGCTGTGTGCCTTTTTCCTGATGAACGATCCCTGCGATCCCGTTCCGAATGTCATTTCAGTGCAACCTTCAAGGACAGTGGAAGAATGAGCTGGGCTCCAACATGACTCTCGGTGCTCCAGATAGAAATGGCTTTTTCACTGGCACCTACCTCACTGCGGTGACTGCCAACAAAACCCTGGTCATCAAGCAGTCACCACTCACGGGAAACCTGAACATGTTCACTGCCAATGCTCAACAAAGAGTGTTTGGGTTCCTGGTCAACTGGACTTTTTCAGGTAGGGGAACCTTTTTCTCCAGTTGTCTTCCCAAACTTTCAGTTACCTTCTCCTACCTGTTTTCCTACAAAGTCTGTCTATAATGAATCGAGATTTCCTGGCTCGCATTTTCATACCTTAATATTCTGCTACAGAGGTGTCGTTCTTTCAAAAAGGGTTTTGAAAAGTGCAGGATCTGCTGCCCTCCTCTGGCCATTCATACACCGTCACTCAGCTGGTGTCTGCAGTGTAAATCCAGCCAGCGGGCAGCAGCTCTCCAGGAGCGCAGTGAGACAGCTGTGTGTTCTTGCAGCAGAGGAGGGGGCGGAGCTGCAGGCTAGGCCCCGCCCCATTGTGGAGACGTTTCATTCACAAGCACCAAAGTAGTGGGCGAACCTGATGACTGTAGGAAATGCACATCCCATTAAAAATGAAAGTGTTGAGATGATGGCACGCTGTCTCTCTCACAGCCTGTGCTGTTTCTGTGCAGACTCTGTGACCTCCTTCGTCGGGCAGTGCTTCGTGCAGAAGGATGGCACTGAACGCCTTCAGACGACATGGCTGCTCAGGGGCTTAGCGGCCACAGAGGAGGACAACTGGTCCCAGACCAGGCAAGTTCACTGCGTGTTCATTCTGGGGCAGGCAGCGCACTGTAATGCTCAGTCCTCTTGCACCTGGTCATCAGTGTCCGGGACGAGCTGGGACGGGTGTTGACCCCTTCAGACCAAAGGGCATCTTTTCATACGATTCAGACAGCTGTAGCGTTCAGTCTCTCCACACTGCCTCTATGGCCACATTTTGAGTGGTCAATTGAACAGATCAACTTTTAGGTAACGCCAGGCTGACCAATCTTGGCCTGGACATCTGGCCATGGAATGGTGTGCTGAGATCTGAAAAACATGAAAATTAATTAAAACAACTACCGATAACTCTGATACAAAACTGGCATTAACATACTTCTTGATGTTTTTCATGCACAGGGTCGGCACAAATGTGTTTACTCGTCTGTGGTGAGAGATCTCAGAAGAAAACAACAGGCGTGGGGCTTCAGTCTGCAGTTTCTCCAATAGAGTGTCAGTTTGCAGTCTGCAGGGTTGTATCCTATAGAATGAGTCATGACTCCACAATAAAGCATCCTCTCGTTACACTGTGTGCAGTAGCCATTATTTCACTTCCAAAATGACTAGGAGGAAAACAAACATTTGATGTGGTCAGGTCAACAGAAATCAGCTTTATTTCTACCATGCTAGAAAGAGATTAGGACCTAAGGAATCCACTGGAGAGAGGGAAAAATGTCACAATCAGGCCTTGGGCATCAACTCCACAATCCATTACCCTGAATCATGTAGTATTATTGTCCACGGGGGGGACAGTCCAACACAACACAGTGACAAACACACATCAGTATCAATGTCGATACATCAGTGTTACAGGAGATAGGAGACAAGAGACAAGGTAGTGACTTTGCGTTGTTTAAGTGTGTGATTGCAGTGGGGATGAAAGATTTCTGAGTCTGGTGGTTTTACACCTGGGGGCACAGAGGCGTCTCCCAGATGGGAGATGTGTGAATTTGCGATGGAGGGGGTGAGACACACACTCCCTGATGCTTTTGGCTTTCTTAGTCACCCTCTGTTTGTAAAGGATACCGAAGTTGATTTTATTTTTTATTCTGACGCTTATATTCACTAATTTATCCAGCCTGTTACAATTCCCGGTACTTTTGTTGCCAAACCAGGAAGTGAAGCAGTATGTTAAGACACTTTCAATGAATGATTTGTAGAAAAGTGTCAGAATAGTTTCATCTACCTTGAAGTAGTTCAGGTGGGTAGCTGCGACAGCATGGGTAGGCTGCAAAGGCACAAGTAAAGGTTTATTCCATACTGAAAAGAGAAGACAGAAAACACAACGTTTCGGCCGAGGAGCCTCCTCAGGTGTGAAGAAGGTCAGCCCGAGACCGACCTGAAGAAGGCTCCACGGCCGAAACGTTGTGTTTTCTGTCTTCTCTTTTCAGCATGGAATAAACCTTTGCTTGTGCCTTTGCTACCTTAAAGTAGCTGAGTTTCCTAAGAAAGAAAAGTCTCTGTTGGCCTTTTTTATAGAAAGTGCCACAACATTTGTCCCATTTCAGGTTTTTGTCAATGACCAGTCCCAAGTACTTGTATTCATCGACAATTTCAATAGGCTGCCCTTCAGTTAAAGTGGGTTGGGGGGGTTGTATTTTTCCTAAAATAAATTGTGTGCTTTTCTATTTGAATAGTTATGGCTTAGCTGCCATGCATTACAAAATGCTATAGGAGCCCAACTCCACTGATATTCCAGACCAGACAAGTGTGGCTGTAACTTTAAGGAAGGAACGGTGACCTCTATGCAGGAGATGGGAGACCTGCGCAGTTCCAGGTTACGGGCTTCAGGGCTGAGACAGCTGGTGCAGCTACTTAACACCCTAGATCACAGATTTAAAACCGCAGCCTGAGAGTGTCACAACACCTCTCAGAGCTGGTGAGCACCCTTCAGTTCAGTTTGTCTCGTTCAGCAGCAACAAGTTAAATAACAGACAACTTGAAAAAAGCAAGTCAGACAAGCAGTGTGAGAAGAAAAAAAAACAGCAGTGTGAGCCAGTGGTAGGGGTAGAGTTCAGTAATCTGACAGTTTGAGGGAAAAAAACAGTCTGGGAATCTGGAAGTTTGTGCCTTTATGCTCCTATAATGTGCACCAGAGGGAAGGGCCGAGAAAACTGAGAAACCAGGGTGACTGGTATCCTTAGTGATACTTAAAGCCTTCCTCAGACAGCAAGCTGTAAAAATACAAGGAATAGGTTTATTCAATGCTGAAAAGAGAAGAAAGAAAACACAACGTTTCGGCCGTGGAGCCTTCTTCAGGTGTGAACACAAATGGCAGAGTGCTCCCTTAGCATGATGCCGAGAAACCTGAAGCGAGGGGGATTAGCTCAAACGGTAGAGCGCTCGCTTAGCATGCGAGAGGTAGCGGGATCGATGCCCGCATCCTCCAGGTGGGAGCCAGGTGCTCTCCTTTAGCCTCTGCGACTTCTGATAGGTTCTCCTCCGCTCAACGTCCTTCAGCTGTCAAGCATTGAAGGGCCACGCCTCCTTCCCCACCTCAGTCTGCACCGAGTGCGTCCGATTTGGCAGCTTAGCAAATGAAAAGTATATCCGAGTGAAAACAATGCTGAGAATACTCTCACGAATCCTTAGAAGACGTGCGTTTGATCAACGATTGCTTAACATTCACAGTCGAGCCATCAAGCTCGTAGTTTTCCTTCAAATATTGAAAGCTGTCAGCGAGCACATCACGCTCTGCAGGACGGTGAAGTATTTTGAGTACTTAAACAGAAAGAAGAGCAGACAGCTCCGCAAATATGCGAGGCGCAGAGAGCGCAAGGCGAGCCCCGCACACGTTTCGGTGGCTGAGAGAGGGCGGTTTTTGCTTCTGCATTTCTCAAGTAATGGCACATGACAACAAGCGATCGCGGTGCTCATTTACCACATAGCGGTGAGGAGTTTTCAGGACGGGTTCTTTTGAACGAGCAACGAGGTTGCCGCCTTGGACAGCTGACTGCACGCTGTCATTGTGCCACGTGATGAGGATTGACCAGGCTCCTTCAGTCATCAGTCACCTTCCATCGTTTGCCGAAAGCAGACGCTGCGAGGTGATGTGGATATCAG